GTAGCCCATCTCCGCTACAACACAGTGTCCGACTTCAATGTCTCCGCCCATCTCTGCTACAACACAGTATCCGACTTCAGTAGCCCATCTCGCTACAACACAGTGTCCGACTTCAATAGCCTGTCTCCGCTACAACACAGTGTCCGACTTCAATAGCCCATCTCTGCTACAACACAGTGTCCGACCTCAGTAGCCCATCTCCGCTACAACACAGTGTCCGACTTCATAACTATAGTACTTTAGGACATATTGTGTTGTCGTATGTTTGTTCTGGGGGCCTTTTTTTATTTGTTTGTTTGTCTTGTATCTCCGTTTCTGTTGTGAGATTGTCCTTCACATTAATGCGACTATGGAGACCTTGGGGTATAACTCCATATGCTCTGTGTGTTTAAGCAACAACTGGGCCTGCGAGGTAAACCGATATCCTATACAACCTCCCCGTGTATTCAGTGCATGCACCGCGGTGTAGCCCAGGACCTTACAAACAGGTATCATAGCTGAAATATTCAAGTAGAAAAACATTTGCAGACGGAGCACGTTGTATCTGTATCGCAACATCCATCTGTACTAGTAATCTCCCTCCTCTTATGTCAGCTCCACCAGTCGGGTAACGAGCACAGTCTGTACCATGCACTCTCAGTGCACTTAACCCGTTACCTGGTACCACTGCTTCCTTAATATAAACGTGCGATTGAGTAGTTAAATGTTATAAAAACTTCGTCACAGGTCTTATCTCCCATATACCAAGTGTGACACTTATGCTTTGTGTCCCTACCTGCATGGGCAACAATGCTAAAACTGGTGGAATAATATTTTCATTAACTCACTCTTGCAAATTTTGTAATTAATGTTAAATCAGTAGATGGACATACGACATCAGTAACGTGCTAGCACAGGTGTCTACAGCACCGTAATAAATAGTTTAGATTTGCGCCCCTTGGACGAGCCAGAACCTTATGATGGTGATTTCGAATTCGTTAACACCACGTTAACACCAGCCCTTATTCTCGAAACGTTCGTAGCCCTAAGAATTCTTAACTTTGATCGCAGCCAATGTGTTAAAAATGGGCTACAACGTTTCGAGAATACCTAGCCAGATTAACCAATTTAACGTGCCGTATTGTACATCAGAAGACCGGTAGGCAGCTCCATCTTGAGCCATGCTGATACAAGCACGTGTTCGTGTTTGAGACTGCAATATTACCGTTATAATATTATATCATCGGTGTTTATGACATTGACTCAGAACCAGACAATGCCGGACATCACGAGCATCCATCAATGCTGGTTTAACTCATGTGTGATATTGTGATTCTGCGAGTATCAATTATTGTACAGTATATGCTTGTTTAATAGACAGACAGTCAGTGTGCGCATTCGGGATATATTTTATACAGGTAATTTTCTCTGTTGATTAACTCAGATTCAAGGTACGGATAGGTGATAATCCAGTTTTCGACAAGGAATGACCATACGACAGAAGCACGACGGTGCACAGAAACGTGTGTTCCTGTGTGTTCCTCTAGGTATAGGGTTCCGTTTTCAGTGTTATTTCTCTGTTATCTACTAATCTTGCGAAACTCTGGAATGTCGGCAGCATTTGAAGTGGGTAGTCTCGTAATAACCTTACTGCTTCCTCTTCTTTCAATGTAAAGTCAATATGGTGACTCCTCGGTCGTGGATAGTGAGACATGCACGTGATGTTTAACAAATACAGGTTCTCGCTTGAAATATCAACCCCAGTTTAATATACGCTGCATGCATCATGATCTTTCTTTGAAAAGTGCTATCATGACGAAGATGACCCTTTTGTCAATCGATGTTAAGAAAGGATTGGCCTTACACAGAAACCTCTCAAACCGTCAAGGTCAAAGTTATACTCGGTTGCTAACGTAACTGGATCGGTTTCATTCATAACAACTTAACTCGGGAACAATTGGGCCGTTTTTTGACGTCATGGTTACGTCACAGCCATATACATGGATATGAAGGCTTGTTGTGTCCATATATAGAGGCGAGGATTGCCGCCAAGTGTTTCTGTTTGACGCGTCGCTGTCGGCGGCGATTGCTCTACAGCGACCAAAGGGTCAAGTGCCCATCCAGGGGAACTGTCCATTGTTGATAAGGGAATGTCGAGTAATAGTAACTTGTCGGATAGCATCACCATGACTAAGGGAACACTTCTTGGATGACATTTCCATCACTGTGTCCATACTGGCACTTATGATTCAAAGTTCAAAATATCCACATTTCTACAACACATTGAATAATGCAACTATTGCTTGCTAGACCACCGCCTGTCAAACCACTAATTAATTATTGTAAACAATTCGTGTCATACCACACACTACCTTGTACAACTATCGCTTGTCATACCACACACTACCTTGTACAACTATCGCTTGTCAGACCACACACTACCTTGTACAACTATCGCTTGTCAGACCACACACTACCTTGTACAACTATCGCTTGTCAAACTACACATTACCCCGAACAACTATCGCTTGTCATACCACACACTACCTTGTACAACTATCGCTTGTCATACCACACACTACCCCGTACAACTATCGCTTGTCATACCACACACTACCCCGTACAACTATCGCTTGTCATACCACACACTACCTTGTACAACTATCGCTTGTCAAACTACACACTACCTTGTACAACTATCGCTTGTCAAACTGCACTACCTTTACAACTACAACTATCCCCGTACAACTATCGCTTGTCAAACATGACACTACCTTTGTACAACTATCGCTTGTCAAACCACACACTACAACTATCGCTTGTATACCACACACTACCTTGTCTTTCGCTTGTCAAACTACACACTACCCCGTACAACTATCGCTTGTAATACCACACACTACCTTGTACAACTATCGCTTGTCAAACTACACACTACCCCGTACAACTATCGCTTGTAATACCACACACTACCTTGTACAACTATCGCTTGTCAAACTACACACTACCTTGAATAACTATCGCTTGTCATACCACACATTACTTATAGTAACCAATGTTTGTGATACCACACATTGGATAGGTTAACATTGCTTGTCATACACACGGAATAATCATTCTGTGAACGTGTCTCAGCTGTAGTATTCCACTATAACGTCTACGGTTTTCCTGCATGTGTAGTGACTCACACCAGGGGGAGAGTTTAAGGGGAGTCGACACGTGATACAGGTAGGACGAGCAGGTTATGTGGAGCTGAATAACTCACCCAGCAGGTCAGTCTGGAGTCCAGTCATCTCATAGCACAATGAAAACATGCATATAACTTTAAAACGTCAACCCTGATTTGACAGAAATGTTCTGACGCCCTTCCAGGCAATGTTGCATACGACACACGGTCTCCGTCAGTCATGTCTGGCTAGGTATATCAGAAAAAAAACATAATGTAACCTTACAATCACATATGAGTACTGGGTATTAGGTTAAAACTTTACGTCATGTAAACGATTATTTTTTGTGTGAAAAATGTTTAACATCATACCGACTTAAAGAACTTACACTGATGATGTTTATGACAACGGGTGCATATCTGACCCCCTGGGTGTGTTGTGACGTAAGACTGAGTGGGTACTGTTTTATTCCCCACCCCTACCACCACCCCCACCCCAAGCGATAGTCCAGCACCATAACGTCATTATACTGGGTATCAAACCTCCCAGATTGTAACTCCGGCTTCCACTCGCCACGGCGTCGAACCTGTTAACATTCTGATGATATCACCAGTTAGCACTGGGAACCAGCTTCACGTCGATGTGCAACATGTGAATGGTTTGTATATATTCAACGTCTACGCGACGTTTAAACGACGACATCCAGCGTGTCTGGTCCCTGTAAGAGTCCCGGTTATGACGAGCGTACGTTTCAAACACAGGGCTACCTTACCATCCCCTGTTCCAAGCAGCAATAAACCTTCATGCAGTCAGCAATTTTCAAGGCCCTCTATATCGCTAGACCTTTCCATTCATTATAAACACCACAAATGACGCACATATGTTTTTTCTAAGACGGTGGATATTAAGCCTACATACGTTTCAAGGAAGAATTACAAATAGAAGCAAGCAATTTCAATAGGGCAGAAAAAGTAAAAGTGACATTCGGAAACCTCAGTGATGTTGCTGTGTATTTTTAATGTTACAACTGACTGTGAAGGGCGGCACTTATTACTAGATGACACAACCACACACATCCTACCACCAGCAGTATAGAGGCGAGTGTCTGTACGAGGTGACGTAAAACAGTATACCTCTGTCAAGCAGTGAGAGAAACTAATGTTCCTTCCTAACATGATTCATGTTTCCCCCAACTAAGTGCTCCTGGAGAAGGGGCCATGAACACATGTCATATCTAATCAAAACACAGCTTCGTCTTCAAGTGGTATAAAGGAGGCAAGAGGAATCTTGGTGGCTACCGCAACACCTAAATAATTGCACGTTCAAACCTGTTAATGTCAAATTCAGTATCATGTTTAGATTGTGTCATGAGTAGGAGGTCATCAGGAGCGGGTTTTTACTGTTATTATTAACTGGTTGCTAGGTGTTTTTGTAACAGGACAATCCAGATGCTGGAGGATCATAAGACATAACTACAACTGATAATTATTCATTGTAAAAAGTTAATAAATAATGCAACTGTTCATCGAAGAAATTAAATCGCAAGTGCAAGATATTTTAAAGAATAATTTGAGCCTTTCCTCCCACGTCAATCTGAACCGTGGTTTAATTGAATCACTGTTCAGAGCAGCGTTAAAGCAAAAACATCCACTCTTTCATAAACACCTCGATACCTATGACATGACACGCTACCAACATAACCACTTTCCTTTTAGGGAAACGATGCGATGTTTCTCATTCACTGAACACATTCCCGTTAGTTGCTTACGGTGAAGAGGATCCATTTACATATGACGTTATTTCAAAATGGCGGTGTTTGCTCATGCAGTTAGACCCTCTTTCTTCCTGTTCCAGGGTGTGACAGCGGCTTCGGCTACAACCTGGCAGTGAGGCTGGACAAACTAGGCTTCACTGTGTTCGCCGGATGTCTGATGCCCGACCGAGAGGGTGCACGGCAGTTGGATGAGGAGACGTCGGACAAACTTCACATCGTAAAGGTTGACGTCACTGACGACTGGCAGGTGCGCGGAGCCCTGAAATACGTCAAAGAAAACCTTAAAGACAATGGTGAGACTATTACAGAATACTGTGTATGCCACAGTGTAGAACCTGCGTTACGACGTGCACCACACATTGTTTGTCATTCGTTATCTTTTCGACATCGGCTACAAGGCCCGTGGTGATGGAAATTTACATAAATGATTGTATCGTATCTACCTCTAATACGTGCTCGCAGTATGCTCTCATGTATGTATCCGAGGTGATTATATTTAACGTCGAAAGGAAATTGTTATTGCAACATTTAGAGAAGCTGTCGGCAGAATGGTTTCGCCTTCGTTGCACGTCTGTTGATATGGTAAAGACTAACTACACAGTTAAACCCCCTACAAAGCTTCAATGGGCGTTGTGTCAGCGTTTTGTACTATTTGACAAGTGTTGGCCGTTCAAAGCCAAAACTTAAATTGCTTTGGCCCTCTACGCATGGGCAAATGAACTATTGTATCGTTTCACGTACGTTATCTTCTTTGTGACGGTCAACGTAAGTGATATACTAGTATGTCCCAGTGATCCACAGGTGAACCCGACACCGACATTTGCAGTCGAAATCAAATATTGAATTTTTTTTTTCAAAAAGTTTGAAACTATATTCTTAATTGCCGAAAGGAACAGGGCTTCAGCGAATGCAATGAAAAATCTCTCTCTATGCGTCGGTTGAGCTACCGAGTCCCGTTTTAATATTTACAACCGCACATAAACATGTTTCAAGTAAACCACACACGGACCGTGCTTCAAGCAAAGGTCATACAGACCTTGCTTCAAGTAATTCTTGTACACATATAGATATTAGTTTAATCAGACTTTTCCAAGCCTACATAACATGTAACATGATGCTTTAAAGTCACGTCTGTATACATTTGGAACGTACATTATCGGCACATCTGATTCACTGCTGAAGTTTGGTCACATGTGTCAGGTTCTCGGGCCTACTCGCCAACTGCATCTGCCGTTCAACGTCGACGAAATATAAAAAAATTAACCCCCAAACATGGTGACTGTTTACCTCCTTGTTCAACACTTGCCTACAGCCATGATCATATCGGTAGTACCTAAATATGACGAGCCAAAATAAACAACCCCTACGTATACAAATCATCGCCCACAGACCCATTCCGGCAGTCGCTACACAGTAATGAGACGAATGTGTTGCTGCTTGCCTGAAACAAGCCAAGGTTAAGCTCTAATGAAGCTTTACGTTCTGGATTCCAGTTCGGTTGGAACCTCCACCACTTGTTTGAAATCTTTCCCTCTCTGCTGAAAAGCACAAATGATCAGAAGAGTAGGCTTCTGTAAGACGGTCTGTATATAAAATCATGATGTCATATGGAATAGTATGCTAGGGGTCAAAAACATAAGTATCACCTCTGGTCATGTGTAATCAGAAATTAAGACAACTGTGCCGTATAATGTGCATCATAAGAACATGCACACTCTCTTTAAGAAATATTATCTGCACGAATTGGAAACAAAAACATATTCCCCATAATGTCTGCATCATTATGATAAGAATCCGACACGTTTTAAATGGATCCAAACACAGTAAATCACTCAGATTCGGAGAATGTTTCCTTGTTATTTTTATCATTTTATTATAGTGCGTACATATACCATAGTTTTAAATCTGGTGTTTTTGTTTCGTAGGTATTGGTTTTGATATCAAATAGTAGCCCCCTGCTATTTTAAACCATTATCACAAGTGTTATCAATGATCAGACATGCTGCACGAATACAAGACACATATTCAGCGGGTATAAATGCGTGTTTTACATACACATTAGTTCTTGGACGCGTGTAAGGGAATTGCAATCTGCCACATTTACAGCTTATACAGAAGTAGTAAGACTCTTCCGGTAAATCTCATTTCAGTGTTATGGGCCCTAGTGAACAATGCAGGTATCGCCGTGTTCACGGAGATCGAGTGGTGTTCTGTCGACCAGTTCCAAAGGGTCATGGACGTAAATGTGTTTGGCGTTGTGAGAGTAACCAAAGCGTTCCTACCTTTAATACGCCCGTCTAGAGGACGAGTCATCAATGTGGCCAGTTTGGCAGGTAAGTGAGACAAATATTCACTGATGCATGTGGCGTGAAGATTCGGGATAGTATTGTCTTCAGCAACCCATGCTTGTCGTAAGAGGCGACAAACAATCTCGCTGACTTGGTTGTTTTTTTATATTGTTTCTGGTTGAAGGGAATGTGTTCCAGCAACGTTTGACGTATGTAAAGTCCGCCACATGAATTTTTTAATGCCTTCAGTGTTAATCAAACTATACACGTATGTAGCTGGTATATTACGGCTATAAATTGCGGCTCAAAAGCGCTTTGAGCCATGGGCGCTGATTATTCCTTGTAGGGTTCTGAAATGCCCGATCTCCATATGTTTTTGTACAGGATTTGGATGTTTGAAGAAGACAGACCGTAGTGATCGTTAAGGTTCATGGGCCTACACAAGATCAGAAAGATAAGCTTGTCCCAATCCATTCGGAGTGAGAACCTTGAACTGAATACGTTCTTTCATGGGAATTCAATGTTATGTCATCATATCTGCTTGGTCTTGTGATAGTTCTGGCTGCAGATTTTTGCACCTTCTGGTGTCTGGAGATAGATAATCGGGAAGACTGTTGAAAAGGTCATTGCAGGGAAAGACTTCCGCCCGTATCCCCCCCTTTAAATTCCATTCAAATCATATCAACAGAATCTACCATATATTCCTCATCAGGATGAGTTTTAACATGTTTTTTAATTGTATCTGAACATACTGAAACACATATTCAACTTCTAAAAATGCCACTTAAAGAAATGTTTCCTCATCGTTAAAATGTAAGGGGGATACGGGCGGAAGTCTTACCCAGATGTTTTGTTGAGCGGTTTAAGGGAGATATAGATATGGCTGCGTAAAATGAAAAAAATAGTATAAGTTGTTCACTGGTCTCGATAGAGGGGGCTCAGGGAACATAACAAACATCGAGGGTACATCAACCCATGGGCCCCGAGGGACCAGTGAACAACGTATTTATCTTACCGAACACCTCAATGGTAATTTTGAACTGTTTGAAGCACGGGTATCGGATCGTAGTATGGAGTACCAGACGACAAGACGACAAGAAAAACAAATTTAGAGTTATCTCCCTCCCATCGATTTGCATTCGCAAAACATCGGTAATTTCCGTAGATCACACGTGATTCAATGTTATTTGAGATAAAGAATTACTACCATGAAGCACCAAGTGAGTTCGGCATTCCCAGCGGGGTACATGTAAAATGTTACTCTCTTGTAAGCGGGGTACATTAAAAATAATAGAAGAGCGCTCAGTCAATCAGAAAACGACATTACATTTTATGTGTGAGGCAAGATAATATTAGATATGAATGTCACCTACAATATGAGTGTAGAGTGTAAACAATAGTGGACCTTGCACTGATCCCTTGGGGACGCCCTAGATACGTTCCATTTGGCAAGAGTGTGTACCATCAACACAAACAGACTGATGTACATTAGATAAATAATATCTGATCCAATTCAGTGTCGTTTTTCGGTTACTCCAATAGGTGCCATCAAAAAGAAAACCCTTTAGCGTATACGTAAATCATAGGCAATTAATTGCAGTAACGCTTTATGAACAATTTTACACTATGTTAGTTAAAAGACCTGTCAGCTAAGTGTTAGAAAAGCTTGGAATTCGATTCACGACTAGAGGAACCTTTGCTTGGCTAAGGGAAATATCAAGTGAATATAATCTTCTTAACTACATACTGATTTAATGGTAATTTAATTATATGTTTATGGTAACTGTATAGGGGTAGAGTAGTTAAAACGTTCTCTCGTCTCGGCCAGGGTTTAAATACACCAAATAGTTAAGTGTGTAAAGACCATTTCTGGTGTCTAGTGTCCAGGTATTTTAGTGCAAAAAGCGGCCTAAATCCATACTCACTCACTGTAACGGCTATATTGTTTGGGCGAACTCGTGTGTATATGTTGCTTGTAACACACACCGTGGGACGGACGACTTCAAGTAGAACTGTAAGATAGTTATGTCTCTGGGTCATTAGGGGAATGCATGGAGTGACAAGGCTGTGAGTCACCTTATTAATAATAAGGTTTTTAATTTAGCTGTCAGAAAGCACTCTCCTTAAAGGTTGACTTTCCTTTTGTTGTTTTTGCAGTACAGCGTAAATTCAGATGGGTACTTGACGAGAAGTTGAGAAATTGCTTTTGTATAAAAAAGTGCTAAACTAAGCTCATGCACCTGTCAGATGTTAATTTGATCTCACGCTCGTGCCGCGTTGTTGGCAGACCGTCATACACTGTCTCTCCAGCCTACTAGTAGTTCATCAGCCTCGGAATATCAGGGCCGCCATTACAAATAATTCGAATAAAGCCCGTTCAATTTTTAATGCTCGTTTTTCACGCGCATCGGTGTTTCAGTTATGATGCAGAGTTGAGTTGAAGTTTTACATCACATCGGCATATTTCAGCCATACAGCGACTATGAGTGAGTGAGTGATGTGAGTTTTACGCCGCTTCTCACAGTAACACTCAGTATCACCTCGCGTCAGCTTATAGAGGGGGGACATTCAGAGGTGATGGAGGTCACAGATGGTTACCACTTCCGTAACCCCCGCCAACACGGATGTGAAACATTTACGGGGCCATCCAGGATTCGAACCCACACTCATAGGTTTCTGGTGTGTCCACGGGAAAACTGCTCACAGCCTGCTCTTTTACCGCACACAGCTTTCCCTTCTCGCCAACACCTGGTGTCATCACCACTGTTCCTATATTTTTCAGACCCGTGAAGATCCGGGTTAGAATTGATCTTCAGTAGCCCATGCTTGTCGTAAGAGGCGGGATAGATGCCTGTGCTGTTGATCACTGGATTGTCTGGCCCATCTACCGTAAACATTTCTCATAATACAAAAGGTTCACCCAGCACGACTGTTTCAGGAATGTTACAATGAACAGGGCGTGTAGGGAGTGACAAAAAATCATACCTATTTGATACCATCTATCTGTTGTTATTGCAGTAACTTAAGGAAATTTATGTAAAAATCTGAAAACTGAAAAGAAGATTACGAACTTCAGTTGCTGGGTAATACCTTCCTTTATCATAATTAGCCATATAAGCTATATCCTAATGATTGCAGTATCTACATTTTCAGGAGGATAACCTTCACGCGAACGGTTAAAGCTGGCAATTGTATAATCATTATTGGAATCATACCGATCGGCAGGCTTTACGGTTTGAGATAGAGAAATTGTAGTTTTACGGTTTTAGATAGAGAAATTATAGTTTTACGGTTCCAGATAAGAATATCATGGTTTAACTGTGTGAGATAAGGATATGCTATGTTTATCACCCCTCTGAGAAGTTGGCGGTCTGCAGAGAGCATACGGAGGAGGGAAGTCTGACATTTATCTACCGGTATATATCACGGAGTTCGTTAACACGGGTACTTGTGTTATACTCTGTTGAATTTCTGCAGTGAGGGATATATCAGTGCCAAATGTTGCATAAGTGGTTACATGGTGTGCCGGTAAGGTGTATTTTGGTGTTTAAACATAGTAAATCACCGCTGTATCGTGTGATTGTAATGTTGGTCCATTACATGATTGTGATTGTAATGTTGGCCAATTACATGATTGTGATTGTAATGTTGGTCCATTACATGATTGTGATTGTAATGTTGGTCCATTACATGATTGTGATTTTAATGTTGGTCCATTACATGATTGTGATTGTAATGTTGGTCCATTACATGATTGTGATTGTAATGTTGGTCCATTACATGATTGTGATTGTAATGCTGGTCCATTACATACATGATTGTGATTGTAATGTTGGCCCATTACATGATTGTGATTGTAATGTTGGTCCATTACATGATTGTGATTGTAATTGTAATGTTGGTCCATTACATGATTGTGATTGTAATGTTGGTCCATTACATGATTGTGATTGTAATGTTGGTCCATTACATACATGATTGTGATTGTAATGTTCTGATTCTAGACATGGGTGCAATATATGAAGCCATTCCTGGTCATGCTTGAAAAATGCTAACAGTAAAATCCCGCTCACATTATTACTGAGTAGTATATTATCACAATACGTCGCAATGATGACTCCAACATAGGTCGATATAACCATAAAAAATATTACCTTAAGTAATTCAATAGAGACTGGAACGTATTATTTATTCTACACAGTGCCGACATTAACATTAGGACTTCCGGCTAACCAGGCGCTAGAGATGGGAATCTGACGATCACAGCAGTGTATCGTGTAACTTCATTCTTTTGTGGGCCGAACACGTGTGGAGCAACTAAGTGTTATTGTAACTGAAGCTACTACACAGACCACCAAGTCCCTGCAGGCGGGAGGAAACGACTTGTTATAACAAACAATTGGCAAAATGGGGTTCCGTAATGACGGAAGTCTGGTATACAGAGGTATTTTACGATGGTATGGTCTACTTAAAGCCAATAGAAAACCGCGCTTGAAAGAGGGACAGGCTCGACTGGGAGAGACCACGTTCTCACCAGATTAGCATCCATTATTCAGAACTGAATGATTAGGTCTTCTTGTTGTGTTTGGATGATGTATGTATTACACACAGTGATGTAATCACAACGTTTGTTAAATATTTATGACGCCTCGAAAACAGGAAGTATTTTTGACGCTTTTTTCTTCTTTAGCGAAGAATGAATTTCGTAAGAAATACCAAAGGGGAGAGACTGACATTCGAGGATGTTTTTGATTACTTAGCCGACACAACCGTCAGGACCTGACACACAAATTCTCAGCCTTGATATTTCAGCGTGTTGGCGTCAGACAAGGAGGTAGCTATGGCCTGAGTTATTAATGTACAGACACATTAGTTCTGGGTTTCTTCTCTTTTCTTTTAAATCTAGCAAAACGTGAATGACAGAACATTCGAAGTGATTATTTGTTCGTGTAAATTTGTAAGGCGCTACTGCTACATTAAAGGGCCCTGACGAGGGAGGTCAACAGTCAGTACTCAGAACATTGCGAAGTATTATGACAATCATG